CCTGCTGTGAACGTTCTTCTCTGTTTTCGAAAAGCCGGCTGACACATGTATCGGGGCCTGTGATGAATAAGATACATGAATTATTATTGACTGACACATGCATCGGGATATAATTTTTGGTAATTATGACACAAATATTCATTTATATTCTTCTATACCAAATAGAAAGGAGCCAGGAGACGGTGGAATCGATCATTTTGGCGGTTACAGGGGATATACAATTATTGACCAATGCAAAGTAAGTATCATGTTTTAAGTCAAATACTGTAATTCAAAATTTTAAAGCTTATCATTATAGAACTATCCCGAACCTGGATCAATTGGACCGCAATATTTACGTGATTTAGAAGGTGTTTTATCCAGATATCGCAAATATTCAACAATTGGTATCTTAGTAGCACCTTCGAAAGCAAGCTTCAGTAAAAAACATAATTAATAGAGCTAAATCATCCGAATATATCATAATCCTAACTGATATAACAAATGCTTACTCAGATTTGGTTCGGTTTGTCGATTCTCAGCTGCCTGTTGTTCTTCAACAAGTTAGAAGCTCTATACATTGTATCTTTCATTTTTATTTTATTATTATTATTATATTATTATCATGTATATTGTTTCAAAACAAATCTATTGACACTAGTATCTACATTTATTGACAAAAACTTGCCAACTCTCGTGATCTATTAAAGCTTATCATTAGGAAATCCACAAGACTCTAACACCAAATATATTTACTCATTCTTTATTTCTGCAGTTCATTGTTGAATTTGTTTTTTCATGATGAATTTAATGAACCTAATAGTAAAAGAAGTCGCAAAAAAAATACCAAGTTGGGTTATCAACCGGGTTAAACAATATGCACTAGAAATTAATTTGAGCTCTTGGTGAAATATCATAATTTGCTGTACATATAATGAATGCTTTCCACGTGGCAATCGTATTATTCTTTCTTTCTTTTTTCATACAATTATAACAATGGAAAAAAAAATAATTGGTTTTCGTTACATGTTATGATTAAAAAGCATGTACAAGACTCGTCTACTTTTGTATATTCATAAAAAAATTTTATACATCTAAAATTTTAGTGATCCGAACCCATTTCAACCCATATGAAAGTGAACACACTTCAGATTCTAGAGAACTTAATAAATACTGTGTAGTATAAAATTCTCATTATTGTGTAATTGCATAACATCTGATAGTTGATTTCGTATAATTAATCGTGTTCACTTCGCATGTGTATATTGCATTGATGTCGCGCATATATATGATTGAGAATTTTTTTGGTTATGCCATAAACTTTTATGATCGCGACATTTTGTCACAGTTTTTATGAATGATATTTAATCTGGTAATTATAGTGGGTATATGGCTCAGGGAAAAAAGCCTGACTACTTATTTGCATTTATGAAATGTCAATTTCGATTGAGACATTTTGTTGCGGTATTCATATAAACAAAACTTTTGAACATATCTACATCTTATAAAACAATGGGAAACTCCAAATCCGAACTAGGTTTATTGAAACAGGAGAATGCCAGACTTATGGCTAGAATCAAAGGATTGGAACAGATCGCAAAAGAAAAAGACGAGCTTGAGGTTAGAATTGTGGAATTAGAACAGACTACAAAGTTAACCGGAAAATGCCGAGCTCAAGAATGAAATTGTAAAATTAAAACGAGCTGTTAAGGATATTGAAAAGCAAAATCGAACAGTTACCGTATTTTCGCGAAATAACGCGCAGGGGTGAAATTATGAATTTCGGCCTAAATTAAGCTTAATTCCGGTCATTATTCGAAATAACGCCCATGCCCGTTATTTCGCGAAAATACGGACTAATGATTTAGCCCCACAAGGCCTGCTTTCGCAGAGATATCCGGAATAGATTTGACCATCTGACCAGTTCGACCATTTGACCAATTTGACAGACCAATTTGACTAGTAAATTTTGGTTGACAACTAATTTGCCCAACACTGATTATAATGTAAAAATTCAGTATGCTTAATCTAAACATGGTGTAGCTATTGCTAAATGTGACTATCAAGAATTTGAAAAACATGCTTTTTTTATCAAGATGCTGAAGATTTTATTTGTCTTTATCCGAGAGATCAAGAGATCGGGTCAAAGGTCTTTATATAAATAACAATACTTTTAATAATACTCTGACTTAATTGATATATATATAGAGATAAGTTAGTAGAAACTTACCATATTTTTTTTAGTGAAATTTTTTTGAATCTTCAAGCAAAAATAACTTAGCAAAAACTTACCCTATTTAGTAAAAATTTTTTTAAATAAATTCTGCAAGTTTTTATAATTAGTTTAAAAAAATTTTTATTAAATTTAATTAAGTTTGTCAAGTTATTTTTTTAAAAAAATTTATTTAAAAAAAATATGGTGTGTTTTTATTGACTCACCCTCATATCTTCTAATAATACTATAAAAATAGTATTAAAAAACAAAAAATAACTACTAGTTCTGTTGTTAAATATAAAAGACCAGTTAGATATAATGAACTACTTTTATCTAGCTATACTAAAGTTTACTATTTTTTAAAACCTAGTAAATTAGAAAGTTGAAAAAGAAGAGTAACTAATTGCAATTGGTTTTCCAAAGTCTTTACAATTGATTTCTATTTAATTAAAGAAAATTAACCTAGTTTCTATAAGCTTTATAATGGTTCTAAATACTTTTTGTAAGAGAAGAACTACAAATCACTCTGACAAATACAATGTTACTACTCAATATATTCTTAAGTATTAGTCTTATCTCTTTTCTTCTTCACTTGATATAGAATTTCTTCAAAGGCATTGTTTAAGTATTTATTTACTTTAGCTTTATTATAGACTATAATTTGCTTATTTTTAAGCTAGTTAGTTTATAAATTCTTTTTTTCTGTATTATTATTTTCAGATTTATTATCTATAATAAATTTGATAAGAGAACAAAAAGCAAACTTGAATTGCCCACACTTATCAAATTTCTTTTTAAGTATTTCTTTAAATTGCTTTCTTTAGCTTTCTAATATTTTTTGTATATTGCTTTCATTATCTAAATAAAATTTAAAAACTTTTATATAATATATAGCTATTGCTCTTTTTTTAACTACTATATATAATTCTTGCTCTCTAAATTCTAAATTTTTATTTAGTTTTTTTGTCTTATTATTTATTTCTTCTAAGTATTCAAATTCTTTGTTAATTAAATTTTTAGATTTATTTTTTTTAAATACTTGTATTTTAGATTTTAAGCCTGCCTCTAGTCTATTTTTTAATTTATCTTTTGTTGGCAGTCTAACTGCTTCTGGATTATATTGTTTAAAATTATAATAGAGAGTTATAAATTATTCAAGTTTTTTGTTTAGAATATTTATTTAAATTAAGTTTTTTTTTGCAATTATACTCTCTATGCTTTAAAATACTTACTAGGTTTTTGATTATTTGAATAGACCTACTTCTTATCTTCTTTCTAGCTAATATAATCTTTATTTTTTTATTATTTTTTTGGGTAATAATCTAAGAAGTTTGATTTTGAATAAAAGATTTAGTGTCTCTTTCTAAAAATATTTTTTATAAATTTTAGCTATTATCTCTTTTTTATTTATATAACTTTCTTTTTTTCTATCAAAATCTTATTGCAAATAGCTTATTGCTTTATATAGAAACATATTTTATTTAGATAGATATATTTCTGTATAAGGTCTATTACTCTTTTTTTTTATTTTTAAATAAAAATATTTTCTATTAAACTTCTTAAAATTACAATATAATTTTTATTACAAGTTTTTTTAAACATATTTAATTTTTTTTTTATATTTTGATAATTTTAGAATTTTTAGATAAAATATTTTTATTTATAGTTTTAACAACTTTTTTGTAACTGTTTCAATAGGCTTTTAAATATCTTCTTAAATAAATTGTTGATTATTTTCTTAAATAAGCCTTTTAATTATACTTGAATAAAAGCTATATTCTTTTAATTTTGTAATAGTTTGTATAGATTTTTTCACTTATAGTAAATAGTAATTAATATATAGTATATTCAATAAGTAGCATTAATATAAATATAACTAATATATACTATATATATATATATATTGGTATTAAGATAGCCTCTTTGGCTTAAGAATATTTTATTAAATGAATAGATATAATTACAATTACAACAAGGATATATCAAGCTACATGTGCACTTTTGGTATCTAATTTAAATAGTCTACTCAAAGGTTCTATACTATTTGCTATATAAGGTGAAATTAATAGAAAAAAGACAAATTTTTTTTAAGTAAAAGTTTTCTTGACTTTAAGCTTAAATATCTTAGCAATTATCTTATTAAATTTTTTTTTATTTTGATTCTATATAATTTCAAAATTAAAATAAAAAAAAAATTAGCAAATTTAATTAATTAGTTGTTGAAATATTTTAATTTAAAAATTACTATATAAGTACATAATAATGCTCATCTGCGCGTTAATTGATTGACTTGCACATTATTTTGAAATAAGAACTGATTTTCAGAACCAAATATTTTTTAAATAACACACATATGCGCCTTATATAGTGAAACCTGAAAGCTGCAGAGTAAAAACAAACTTATTGTATTACTGATAATCGGTGTTTTGCATGATACATTAGACATTCTATCAAAATATAATTACATACAAGATGTTTCAAATTTAACTTATTTCGAAAATAGGTATATACACCAAGAAAATTAAATAAAATTAATCAATACAATGAAATAACTACCAATACAATAGTAATTTTTTAATTACATCAATAAATATAAACTATAGTATAGTGATATTTATTGAAAGACTAGAACTTGACTAGACATTCAAATTCTTTTAGAGTCTTAGTGGTTCTAGTGAGAAATCCCACTAGAATGATTTTCTCAATGGAATACATTCATTTGTATTGGCTAATTTAAATGTGACCTATTATGTGTTTTTATAGCAGGTAGCTCTATGCAATTTTCTTAGCAACACTAGTATATACATACATAAATACTTCATTCTGCAGCATACCAATTTATCAATGGATTGTGTAAATATACATTCATGTACATACAAACTGGTTATAACATTGACAATTGATAATTTTATAGATACTGACACAATACAAATCTAAAATATATATAAATATTCTCAATTAAAATAGTTATTAATCTAATGCTACTTTTTTTTTATTTTTTATTTTTTATTTTTTATTTTTTTTTTTAAAAAAAAAAAACTATATTCTTTTTTGATAACCTCTCATGCTGCAAACCTAAACCACTAGAATACTTCCTATTGACTGTGATGAAAAATATCAATCATTAAAATTGACTTTCTTGAGTAGAATACTAGCTTTAGAACTATGGCCCTAATAACTCATTGGTTAACTGATCTTTTTTTAATAAACTTTTCATATCATGAACATTATCTAGACCTAAATCTTTTTTCTTTTTTTTTTTTGAAATTTCTTTTTCTTTTTTTTTCGTTAAATTAAAAAAAAAATTAATATTTTTTTTGTATGCTGCAAGCATAAAACTAGTGATTGGATCTGTTAAAAAAAATATCACCCAAGTTACCCACAAGTTGACCTATAAGCTACCCGGATAGAACCTGAGTGGGTTAAAAAAGCAACCTTTCGGGTGGATTCATGAGTTACCTGAGTAAAAATAGAGCATTATAGCTATTTTCATAAATTTTGAAACAACTGAAAAAATTGTCAATGAACAAATCGATAAGCTTCAGAAGTTGGTTACTTATTGTTTCTGACTTGGTAACTTATCAATTTAATCATCAGCAATTTTTTCAGTTGTTTTAGAATTTATAAAAACAGCTGTAAAAATAAAATAGTAATTTTATTTGGATTAGTTAGAAATTTTATTAAAATAATAACATTTAAAATTTTATCTCTGATTTATTAAATGAGTGTCTAGTCTAATATAAAACATATTTTGAAAGTTTTTTTTTTTTAAGAAAAAAGACAATTAATATATATACAAAATGTATATTTGGATTAAAGTTGCAATTATTATTTATGAATCACCCAACAGGTGACCCACCTACTTCTACCCGGGTGGCCAAAACTTTATCTGGGTCACTCGTCCACCTATAGGTGACCCAGGTAGCACTTATCTGAGTCTAATCACTATGTAAAATCTTGAAATATTCTCAGTTGACTTGATAAAACAGAGTTGTGAAGAATTGATCTTCTTGAGTAGAATATCGACTCTAGGACTATTATAGCCCTAATAACTCATTGGTCAACTAATCTTTTTTTGATGAACTTTTTGTATTATAAATATTACCTAGACCTGGATCTTTATTCTTTTTTTATTTTTTGAAACTTCTTTTTCTTTTTTTTTTTCCATTAAATTAAAAAAAAAAAGATATCTTTTTTGTATGCTGCAAGTGTAAAACCTTGAAATATTCTTGGTTGACTTAATAAAATAGCAGTTGTGAAGAATTAACTTTCTTGAGTAGGATATCGGCTCTAGGGCCATTATAGTCCTAATGACTCATTGGTCAACTGATCTTTTTTTGATGAACTTTTTGTAACATGAACATTACCTAAATCTGGATTTTTTTTCTTTTTTTTTTTTGAAACTTCTTTTTTTTTTTTTTTTTTTGTTAAATTAAAAAAAAAAATTGATATCTTTTTTGTATACTGC